TCATCTTCTTCAAAGCTACAACCACTTCTTCCTTCCGGATTCGACGATAAAAGGAGTAGTTTCTACACTCTTCTGAGTTACTCAACTCCCCTAAAGAAGCACTCCTTTCATGTCCTTCATTGAAAAGATTATGAAAATAACCTCTCCATCTGTCTTTAACCGCGTTCTCTGTAGCAAGAACCTTTCCATCCTCATCCTTGATGCACCTCACTTGGTTTAGGTCCCTTGTCTTCTTTTCCCTTGCTCTAGCTAGTTTATAGATATCCAACTCTCCTTCTTTGGTATCTAGTCGTTTATACATATCGTCGTAAGCCGCTAACTTAGCTTCTCTCTGACAGCTTTCTTCGCCTCTTGCTTCGCTTTTCTATACCTTTCACCATTTTCATCGGTCCTCTCCTTGTATAAGGCTTTACAACATTCCTTCTTAGCCTTCACCTTTGTTTGTACCTCCTCATTCCACCACCAAGATTCCTTTTGGTGTGGGGCAAAGCCCTTGGACTCTCCTAATACCTCTTTTGCTACTTTTCGGATACAACTAGCCATGGAATCCCACATTTGGCTAGCTTCCCCCTCTCTATCCCACACACATTGGGTGATTACCTTCTCTTTGAAAATGGCTTGTTTTTCTTCTTTTAGATTCCACCATCTAGTTCTTGGGCACTTCCAAGTCTTGTTCTTTTGTCTTACTCTTTTGATATGTACATCCATCACCAACAAGCGATGTTGATTAGCCACGCTCTCTCCTGGTATAACTTTGCAATCCTTACAAGTTATACGATCCCCTTTCCTCATTAGAAGAAAATCTATTTGTGTTTTTGACGACCCACTCTTGTAGGTGATCACATGTTCTTCTCTCTTCTTAAAGAAGGTGTTGGCTAAGAAGAGATCATATGCCATTGCAAAATTCCAAGATAGCTTCCCCATCCTCGTTTCTCTCCCCAAAACCATGGCCACCATGAAAACCTCCATAGTTGCCTGTCTCCCTGCCCACGTGTCCATTTAAATCTCCTCCTATAAATAACTTCTCCGTCTGAGCAATTCCTTGCACCAAGTCTCCAAGATCCTTCCCAAAATTTCTCCTTCGAACTCGTATCCAACCCTACTTGAGGTGCGTACGCACTAATCACATTGATAAGTTCTTGTCCTATTACAATCTTGATTGCCATGATTCTATCTCCTACCCTCTTGACATCTACAACATCTTGTACCAAGGTCTTGTCCACGATGATGCCAACACCGTTTCTCGTTCTATTTGTGCCCGAATACCAAAGTTTAAAACCCTGAGTTTTCTAGATCCTTTGCCTTACTACCAACCCACTTAGTTTCTTGTAGGCACATAATATTTATCCTTCTCCTCACCATAACTTCCACTACTTCCATAGATTTTCCCGTTAAGGTTCCTATATTCCACGTTCCTAAACGCATTTTGCTCTCTTGAACTCTACCCTTCTGTCCTAGCTTCTTCACCCTCCCCCGTCTAATAGGATCAAAGTACTTCTTTTGTGTGTCCCGGGTAAAGTTGATAGGAGCATATGCTCCCAAACAACTTTGAGTGGAGTCGTTCGAAAAGAAGTTTCGATGGCCCCCTTGCTCATTTAACACTGCATCCGGGTGCCGATGGAGATACAGCGACCCTTGCTCACTTATCACTGTGCTCGGGCCACACAGCGCGCCACTTACGGGTGACGCCCTAGCTTTAGCGCGATTTTGTTCTGGATTCATTTTCATAAGGATTCGACGTGATCATGGAGTGCCGGCTGTCGACTACCTGACCACTTCATATTTCGAACACAATAAAAAAAATTCTCACAATTAACATGATATACAATGACTACAAAAAGGGAAAATTTTCAAACCAAAACCAAAACCTCAAAGTTGTGATATAACATTTTGCTGGAAGAAAGGGTTCACAAGGATGCGAAAGAAACCACAAAAAAGATTTAAACCACACCAGTAACGGCAGCAATTCAAGAACGTGATAGGATCAGACATGGCATAAAAGGGAAATTGCAAGAAAAGTAATACAGGAAATAGAAAAGGAAATCAAAGGAAATTCATATCTTCATTCATATCCCCTTTACATCATAAAAGAGGTTTAAATACATCCAAAGATAGCTAGGGTTTGAGGTATGGATGGGCCTAATAATATTACTTAAGTAGAGGGCCTAATGGGTAGTAATGACAAATTGACACTAAGTGATCTAACTAGTCATAACCGAAGCTCATTAGCTTAGAGTCGCATCAATCCCACCCCCTTAAGATGAGGCTTGTCCTCAAGCCTCTCAAACTGAGAAGGACGCATGCAGCAGCAGTCAGGGAAAGAGGCCCGCCAATTTGTCCAATGGTGTACCATAATCATATTCAGTATTAGCTTCAGTGTGTACTCCCAAAAACCAAAGATCATTAACTCATATCCTGCCAACATGAAATCATGCAGTTTTGCCAAATACTGTGAGAGGGAAGAAAAGAGTTGGAGCACACTAATCTTGGTAGCATTGAGCAAGAGAACAATCGGCGTTGTTGCATCACCAATCAGGAAGCCATTTAGCTTGTTTTGTCCTGGCAGAACAGTTTTGAAAAATTGTCGAAGATCATATCCCTTAAACAGTCCAAAGGCATCAATAGTTCCAACAAAAATACTGGTTATGGGCTTGAAAGGGGAGATCTTCTGTGCAACAGCACCCACTTCACTCACAGCAAGAGATGTTTCCCACATAGCAATGTCTTCAAGCCGGTGTTGGCATGAGTTCAAGTGTCTAGTATCTATATCTCTATTACCAACAATTTGAACACACAATCTTGCTGAACGAAGAAAATAAGGAATAATGTGGCCAAGCAACCACCCAATTAAGTGAACTTCCCTAAGCATTGGTCTCCATTCTCCACCATACAGGACAAAACTTAAATCTTGAATTTCTCCCCTACCAGATTTTTCATGGTGTGAATCATCACTATCCCATATAATTAATGGTGCAGGAACTTTAAGAAAAATGACGTTCAGAGATCCCTTATCATCATCCACAATAATGCAAATAACTACATGTGGATACCCCTTAGTAGTAAAAAGAAGGTTAGAAGCATGCCCACGAATTTGTAATGCCCGATCATGAAGAATTCTATGCACTGTAAGCTGAACATCCACACTAGCTCTTGAAGGAATGAGATCAGAGAAATACCTTGAAGAAAAATGCCGATTGAGTTTGAGAAGAGCAAAAAGTCTCACAACATAAGAAAATGCTTGCTGAAAAATGGCTCTACGTTCATAGATACAAATAGCAAAAACTTCCAGATTGAGCATCCTATAATTTGCCCTCTGGTCTACGACCAAGCAAACAGGTCTGATCCAAGCTGCGGATGCTCCATCACTCGTGAGGAACCAGATGACAGCAGGTTCATTACTCTGGACTGCATAGGTGAATATGTGAAGCAGATAAACATTTCTCTTCCACTCTGTTGTTTGACCCCTGTCCACCTCCTGAAAGTAATGGTTGTATTCCTTCCCCATAAAGAATATTGATCATGTTCACCAAAGCTAGAGTAATCAAAAGAGTGTTATAGTTACATTCACGTCGAACATAATACAATTTCCAGCAATTAGTAATAATTTCCATGTACACCCGAGAAAACCATCTTCCAAATTCTAGTATGGCTCTCATATTTTCCAAGGGAACTTGCACTTTGGCATGATGACAAAAAAGATCAGCGACAACAAAAGTTATGCTCAACACTTCATTCCATGTGAACAATGACACGAAAACTATATGTTTCTCAACCCATTTGGCAATAAACAAAACATTAACATTCAACCAATAACTAAGGGTGGCAGCAACTTGAGTTATCATCCCCACTGAGGCATTATCTAATTCATGCTTATGAAGGTGAAAAAGCAAACCATGAACAAAAGTGGTCACTGGAGGCTGAACATGAGTAGGAGACATAGAAGTAGTAGGACCAGAAAAATACCTCTCCATTAAAAAAACATGAGTCGTATGAGTCACAAACATAGCTGCCATAAGATCGACGTTACATGTGACATTGAAGTGGCACCATGTTACGTAGTCCTCACTATCCCAATACTTTTCAAAAGCAGTTCTCAAAGCAATGGAATTAATACGAAAGATAAGACAAACATGTCTTTGATTTTCAGAACTAAAGTAGGTGGCTGCCACTGGATTGTTGTACTTAAACTTAACTCCTGTGAATGGTAAAAGTCTCTATAACTTAATGAGAGATGCCATGTTCAGCGCCCCTTTGTGATTCATACTAATAAGTAGTGTCATCCAGCTTATCCACACGTTCTCAAATATTTCCATGAATTTCTCAACCGGCTTACGGTGCTGGTGCAAGACAATCAATGCAAAATCATTATTTAGTAACCCACTCTTATGAAAAGAGGTAGCAATGAACTTACGTAAGTGCATAGCTTCTGAACTCCAATATGCAGATGTCAAGGCAAGAATAATATCCTCATATGGAAGGAAATGAGTGTGAGTCATAAGAGGCATCAACCTTACTTCGACAGTATAACTAACCTTGAAGTGGTACACCATATTTTCCTTGCTCGAGACTGTTTGGAAATGTCTACAAATAATAGAAAAATCTTCAAAGGGCAGAAACACTACTGTAAGGATCAAGATTAGTGGTCTTGTAATATGCAACTTGCTCCATTCTAAAGCCAAGAGAGTGAGCTCTAGACTTACAGGATACAAAAGTGTAATGTCCACAATGCTCAATTGATCCGAAACAATTTTAATACTTGTTTCTGTCAACTGACATAGTTGCCTAAACACAGCCTCGACAATTTGTAGTTCTCGTAGATCCCCTCCCTCATCAAATAGAAATCTCAACATTCGAATTGCCCTTAAAGCTCTCAAAGCACAGCTTGTATACTCATTAAGAGCCAAGCCAGACTTAAATTGTTCCATAAGGTCCAAGGTGAGAAAATTAGGCATTGGGTCCTTAATTCTTCTTTTTGGCATTCCATCAAACATCTGGATTGCATGGGGAACCCAAGGTTGATTTCCAACAAGACTCAGAACATCAAATTGAAACTGTTGATACCCTTGCCCTTGCTCTGCCGTAACATCAGAATAGCAAATATCAAGAACAAACCCTACCCGAAATCCCGCTTCAGTCGCGGTGTGCCCGACCCCAAGATCCGAATCTACGATGTTGGCATGAAGAAGGGCATCGAAGAGTTCCCCTTCTGCATCCACCTCGGCTCCTGGGAGAAGGAAAACGGTTCCAGCGAGGCTCTCGTGGCAGCACGAATCACCTACAACAAGTACATGACCAAGTTCCACCTGAGGGTTAGGGTTCACCCCTTCCACGTCCTCCGAATCAACAAGATGCTTTGGTGCGCCGAAGCTGATAGGCTTCAGACTGAGAAGCCGCTCGGGACCTGCGCTATGGTTGGTATTGAGCAGGTGCTGCTCTCTGTTCGTTGGAAAAGTTTGTTCATGCGCCTGTGGTAAAGGTGCCAACGACAATGATGGAGCAGCAGAGAACGACGGAAGCACCTGATTCCGTTGTCGTCGTTGGCAAAAACTCACAGACGAAGCCTTCCTTTTCATCCTCACATGAGAACTATAGACAATCTTAATGTATATTTCATTGTCAAAACAGTTTACAAGATTAAGCATAAATAGAAGAATAATCGGGAAAGAGAGAGGAGAGGGGGACAATGGCAGCTAAGCAAGCATGAGAGTATGATGACCTCCACATTCTCTAACACATGCTTTACAGCTTATTAACAAGCTTTACACAGAAGAGGGAATAACACAGCTCACTAAACCCTAGCTAAACACAGCTTTACAGCTATTAGGGTTTAAAGAATATTCAATAATATTCAATACTCCCCCTCAAGCTGGATCGAGAGATTTTCTGGATCCAAGCTTGAAGAGAATACGATCAAGTTGAGAAGAAGGAAGGGGCTTGGTGAACACATCGGCTAGTTGATCACTGGAGCGAACAAATGCAGTTTGTAACAGCTTGGACTGGACTTGGTTGCGGACGAAATGACAGTCAACCTCGATATGCTTTGTTCGTTCATGAAAGACGGGGTTGGCAGCAATATGCATCGCTGCTTGATTGTCACAGTGGAGGAGAATTGGCTTGGAAGAGATGATGTCAAGATCATGTAGCAAACTCTTTAGCCAAATTAGTTCGCATGCAGTAGATGCCATTGCACGGTACTCAGCTTCTGCGCTGGACCGAGCTACAACAGATTGCTTTTTGCTCTTCCACGTGACGAGGTTACCACCTACAAGAGTGCAGTAACCAGTTGTGGACTTGCGATCAAGGACGTTGCCTGCCCAATCAGAGTCTGTGTATCCTTCAATGGTGAAGTGTCCGTTGTTTTGCATGAAAATCCCGGTAGACATTGAGCTTTTTTAAGTATCGAAGGATCCTTTTAACTAGTTGCAGATGATGAGATGTGGGAGAATGCATGAACTGGCTGACAAAGCTAACAGCATAAGCAATGTCAGGTCGAGTTATAGTCAAATAGATAAGTTTTCCTACCAACCTTTGATACTCCGATACATTTTCAAGCTGGATGCCTGAGGTTTCATGCTTGAAATTTTGTTGGTAGAGGTGTTTTAGCAGGTTTGCAATGCATCATATTGGCTTCTTCTAAAAGATCGAGAACGTACTTTTTGTTGATTTAGAAACAACCCCGTTGGAGATTGATCCATTTCGATTCCGAGAAAGTATCTAAGTCTGCCGAGATCTTTGATTGAGAATGTTGAATGTAAGGTGGCTTTGAGAACATTGATTTCTTCTGGATTATCTCCTGTGACAATGAGATCATCAACATAAACAAGTACCACCAATCTTCCATGTGTGCCAAGCCTAGTGAACATTGAAGAATCTGCATTGCTTCGTTTAAAACCGGATGACATAAGGACAGAGCTTAGTTTTGAGTACCAAGCCCTTGGAGATTGCTTGAGACCGTAAATGGCCTTGTGAAGCTTGCATACTACTCCTTGTTCCTTCTCTCGTTCATGACCAGGTGGTAGGCGCATGTACACTTCTTCTTCCAACTCTCCATGAAGAAAAGCGTTTTTTTACATCCATTTGATGTAGAGACCATTGTGAATTGATAGCCACCGAAAGAAGAACTCTAACTGTGTTCATCTTTGCCACCGGGGCAAAGGTTTCTTTGTAATCTACCCCCGTAGGTTTGCGTGAAGCCCCTTGCAACTAACCTTGCCTTGTGCCGCTGGATGGTTCCATCTGAGTTAAATTTTGTCTTGTAAATCCATCTTGCCCCAACCACACGTTGATCTTTTGGCAGAGAAACAATGCTCCAAGTTTTAGTTTCTTCGAGTGCCTTCAGTTCCTCAAGCATAGCACATCTCCATATAGGAGATTGGTTTGCCTCTTCGAAGGATCGAGGCTCCGAGTGTTGAGATAACTTAGTGACAAATGCTGCATGAGATGGAGAGGTCTTGCTATGGTAAACCATTTGTCCAATAGGATATCTAGGCATGTAGATTTCAAAATCATCAAGCCTGGCTGGAGGTTGTCTGTTTCGAGAAGGATTCCTTCGTGGAGGAGTAGGTTGTTCAAGGGGCTCTCTCCTTTCGTGGAGGACTTCTTCATTATTTGCCTCCATATTTTCATGAGCTGGCTCTATCTCAATTGCTTCATTGTGCGGTGTTGACAGTCTTGGATCATCAAGGACGAGAGGAGTGGGAAACACTTCATATGAGAGCTCCCCCTGAGGTTCATCATCATGCTTCTGAAAGAAGAAGTGTGTCTCATCAAACCGTACATCCCTGGATACAAACACCTTTCTGGTTTTAGAATAATAGCATTTGTATCCCTTTTGGGAAGTTGAGTAGCCTACGAATGCACACTTGATAGCCCTTGGATCAAGTTTATCTCGGTGAATAGTTTGAATATGCACATAGCACACACATCCAAACACACACGGAGATGACTTATGTCAATATCTCTCCCCTTGAGAATTTGACAAGGAGATTTAAAACTTCAAGATTCTGCTAGGAAGTCGATTTATGATGTATGCAGCGGTTTGTATAGCTTGGGACCAGAACTTCTTTGGAAGGTTTGCTTGTAACATTAGTGATCGTGTTTTCTCAAGCAAATCTCGGTTCTTCCTTTCTGAAATGCCATTTTTTGTTGTGGTGTTCCTACACAACTAGTTTGTTTGCAAGATTCCATGCTCACTTAAGTAAGTTGTCATGATTTTGGAAGTATACTCAGAGCCATTATCAGACCTTAAGATGCCAATATTAGAGTTAAAATGATTTTGAACTAAGTTATGAAAATTTTTGAAACACTGGAAAGCTTCGTGCTTGAATTTAAGTAAATACACAAAGGTAGTTCTAGAGAAATCATCAATGAAAGAGATGAAGAATCTGTAGCCATCAAAAGACTTTAAGGTTGCAGGTCCCCAAATGTCGGAATGGACAATTTCAAACACTTTGGTAGCTCTAGAGAGAGAATGGGGAAAGGGTAACCTGGTGGACTTAGATTTTTGACAAACTTCACAATCTGAAATCTCTTTACAGAAACTAGGAAAAAATAAAAGACATAACATGGGAAGAAGGATGAGCTAATCTCATGTGCCACAGCTGCTCCTTGTTTACTGTGTTTTGAGTTTACGTAGAAACCTTTTGGAAAACTTGAAGAGAGATTGACATAGTACAGTCCATTGAGGAAGAAACCTTTACCAATCGTTTCCTTCGAAACTCGGTCCTGGAAAATCACACAGTGAGTGGAAAAAATTGCAAGACAATTTAGCAATTGTGTTATACTTCCTACTAACAGCAACTTGAAAGGAAAGGAAGGGACATGCATGACAAGGGATTCCTTTTTACTTGAGAAGATTTTGAGTTTTCCTATGCCTACTATACTAACTTTGGTGCCATTAGCTACGGAGATAAAAGAAGGAGTGGAGAAGTTTTGAAAATCATTTAGTAAAGATGCATCGTTAGTCATGTGATCAGAAGCTCCTGAGTCGACTATCCAAAAACCACGGCTACTACTAAGATCCAATGCAGTGGAAATAGTTGCAACAATACCTGGCACATCATTTTGTGACACTGAGCTTGATTGTTCGAGGAAACCAGCAAACTTGCCGAGCATGGTTGCAGGATTTTCATGATTTGTTGTCCCTTGTTTCTGTTGCAGGAAGTTAGCAAATTCATTTATGAGAGTAATGGGACTAGAAGAAGAGTTCATCACATTTTTGGAGACATTGTCGCAAACAAGGTTTCCTTGATGAGTGTAGGCAGGCTTCATTTGGTTTTCTTGGTGCTCTTCCATCATCATTGAACTTGGGTTTAAGTTCTGGATGAAAGAATCCAGCACTTTTCTTTTATGTGTCCAATGCCTGGACGACCTATTTTCACACAGTGAGAACACTTTAAGTCTGGTCGTTTTCCCTTGTATGGTCTGAAAGAGGTGAAGGCTCTTGCTTCTGATGGCCTAAGATCTGATTCTCCAACGACAACGACTGCATTCATGACCTTCTTCCTTATTTCTTCGCGTTGAATAACGTTGCAGACCATCTGGAAGGTGGGAAGTTCAGGTGTCATCAGGAGATGACTTTTAAGATCCTCATATTCTGGTCCGATGCTGGCAAGCAACTGGAACACTTTGTCTTCTTCAGCACGCTTTAAAAGAATGGTTGTGTCCGTGGTATGAGGTCTGTAGAGATCCAATTCATTCCATTTGGCCTTCAAGTTGCCAAGATGTTGAACAAAAGAGAGATTTCCCTGTTGTAATTCTGTAAGATCTTTCTTCAGCTGGAAGACTCGCGCAGCATTGTTTAGATTTCCATACATGTCTCGTACAGAAATCCAAAGGTGGTGAGATGATACTGAATAACTGAAAATCTCAGCCATCTTTGGTTCCATTGAATTCAACAGCCAAGACATGATAAGTTGATCTTGGGACACCCATGCTGCATAATCTTGTGAAGTTGTTTCGGGCATGATATCATCCTTTTGAATGAACTGGAGCTTTCCACGTCCTCCAAGAGCGAGAGAAATAGCTCGTGACCAAGGCAGATAGTTGAATTCGTTTAGGAGCACTGAGCTCAAACGTTGAATTGGGTTGGTATCCATAGTTTCGTTTTTTGAAACTTTCTCTGATGATGTTGCCATAATGGCTTTAACTGGTTTGAATTTGGTAGGATTTCGGAAGAACACAGATGCAGGTCCTTGAGGGATCACTGCTCTGATACCATATAGACAATCTTAATGTATATTTCATTGTCAAAACAGTTTACAAGATTAAGCATAAATAGAAGAATAATCGGGAAAGAGAGAGGAGAGGGGGACAATGGCAGCTAAGCAAGTCAGCTAAGCAAGCATGAGAGTATGATGACCTCCACATTCTCTAACACATGCTTTACAGCTTATTAACAAGCTTTACACAGAAGAGGGAATAACACAGCTCACTAAACCCTAGCTAAACACAGCTTTACATCTATTAGGGTTTAAAGAATATTCAATAATATTCAATAAGAACACACTGCAAGTTTATGCTTTGCTCGAACCGATTTAAGCGGCATTTTTGGAGATGTGTGGTGAACACCTCTGACCATGCTGAAGACATTTCCTGCTGTAGAAGCTGTATGCACGTTCAAATCGGGACCCAAGTCAATTTCGTAAGGAGATACCTGATGGGGGTCATTAAATCGTAGACGGTTCTCAGAATCGAAAACCCACGAATTTTGTTCGTACGACGATGGAGAGTAAATTTGGGGATCTTGAAAATTAGGGTTTGTGGTATAGGAATGAGGGATTTGAGGGACATCGATGGAGGCCGAAAACACAACGGAAGGTGGTGCGGGGTGCGGGAGGAAAATGGGACTGGTATATACAGGAGCAACGGGAAGCTCAGGCATATACGAGGCTGGGTAATCTGGTGGTTGATAGGTAAGAGCAGATGAGGGAAAGGTAGGTGTATACTTGAATGGAAACTGGTAGTGATCGGGAGGAGGAGGAGGTGGTGGAGGCGGGTTTGGATATTCATACTGAGAAACATTGGTTTCTGGATTCCAATAAAACACCATACCACTGGAATCATCCGTCACACTTGTCCACGGCGCTGGAAGTGTGGGATCGACGGGTCCAAACCATAGATCCATTGCGGATCTCTGGCTCTGGTACCAATTGATAGGATCAGACATGGCATAAAAGGGAAATTGCAAGAAAAGTAATACAGGAAATAGAAAAGGAAATCAAAGGAAATTCATATCTTCATTCATATCCCCTTTACATCATAAAAGATGTTTAAATACATATAAAGATAGCTAGGGTTTGAGGTATGGATGGCCTAATAATATTACTTAAGTAGTGGGCCTAATGGGTAGTAATGACAAATTGACACTAAGTGATCTAACTAGTCATAACCAAAGCTCATTAGCTTAGAGTCGCATCAGAACGCCTAATGCTAATCATATGAAACTTGTTCAATCTAGAAATACTTTCCCGTGATCATTAGACGAAGTTGATGCTGCTGAAGTCTTCCCCAAAGAGGTGGAACCAGCAACATTGCCATCGCCAGTGAGCTTGGCGGGTGGAAAAACCTCGTCAAGGGTTTTTTCGCGAACAAGAACACTCACAACTTCAGACATTTTAGGTCTGACACTAGGACCTAGAGTGGTGCAATACACTGCTAATTTCATAATGACGAGGGCTTCTTTTTCATCATATTTAGACAAACTTTTATCAACCAAGCTCTTCAAATTTCCTTCGGCAAGTGCTTGATAAGCCTGCACATATGCAGGATGGGTTGTTAGCATCAAGCTTGAATGCGTAATCACACCTAAAAATGCATAATCAAATATAGAGAAGAAAACACAAAAACACAACCCTGTCACTCTTACTTACCCTATCTAAAAGAACCTGAGTTTCCTCGTTTGGTTTGCTCAATATGTTTCTCTTCCCACTAACAATTTCAAGCATGACCACCCCAAAGCTGTAAACATCTGCTTTGTACGTTATATCATTTGTTTCAAGGTAACACTCTGGCGCCATGTAGCCTCTGTAATAAGCATAAGCATTTAATTTTACATAGACTTAAATTTGCCTTATAAAACTGGTGAGTTACTAGTTTACTTACTTCGGAACTTCTCTTGTGATGACCTTAACCTTATCTTCTTTGGTATAAAGACTTGCAAATCCAAAGTCAGATATCTTAGGCTCAAAATTTTCATTAAGAAGAATATTAGCGGATTTTATATTCCTATGAAGAATCTGTACTCTCGGATGCTCATGTAGATAATTCAAACCCTTTGCTATTCCCAAGCAAATGTTAACCCTTGTATTCCATTCAAGCTTGAATGTGCTAGAAGTATTCGAGCCTGCAGTTGCATACACTTCAATACGTTATATGTTGTATTCGTCTTTCATGATAGTTTTAAACCATTATACGCATCAAAACATCACAGTACAAGTAAACAAGAAGTAGAAAATATATTACCAAATAAGATATCGGCAAGGGATTGCTTTTCCATATACTCGTAAACAAGAAGTTGGAGGTCTTTATCAAAAAAACCATCCAACAGTTGGAGGATATTTTGGTGTTGTAATGACCTTATGGTGCCAATTTCCTTGTTCAGGTCTTCAATTTTTTTCTTAAATTGAGCGGGATCTAGTTTCTTCACGGCCACAATGTGACCTTGCAGTTTTGCCTTCATTCACACAAAAATTTTAGAATAAAACAAAATTACAAAAATTATAGAATGTATACAAGTACAGAAGTTTACCTTATAAACTGTCCCATAACGTCCAAGTTTTTTTTTGTCGCTAAAATTTTCAGTAGCCTTTATTAATTCTTTGATGGTGACAAATTTATCTTGAAGCTCGTCATCTATTTTTTCTACACCTATTTTGATCTCTGTCCAGAGAAAAAATGTATCAAGAACATATATCAATCAGACAACTTTAATTCTTTTCGTTTTAGTGTATCAAAGAGGACATATTCTTGTATTGCAATGCAGTATATAATTGTAGCTTAGCATGCATTTTATAGGATTTGGATCCTCTCCTGAGCTTAAGGAGAGGATCCTCCTGACCAATATATATGGATCGTTGGATGAAAATCCAACGGCTATAATTATTATAACTTTAAAGAGACTCCATTTTTGTAGCCGTTGGATGAAAATCCAACGGCTCCAACGGCCCATATATGTTGGTCAGGAGGATCGTCTCCTTAAGCTCAGGAGAGGATCCAAATCCCATTTTATAGACACTTACTGTGGACCTCTTTGCTTGTCAGCCACCCCATCCTCCAAGCAAAAGCCAATAAAAGCAGCAGAGCAGCAACAATTGAAGCAATCGTAATCAATGCAACACGTTGACCTTTTAGTTTGTCGGGATTAATTTCAAACTCTGAAATTAGTGGAAAGAGAGTAATAAATTAATAATACATGAGTGTTAATTTGAACAAAACAAATTGAAAAGGAAACGATTCAGAGTAAAATATTATCAGAATTCACAAAAATAGCTGATATTAGATGTCTATTAAAACTAGGCATGTAATGAAAAGACAAGGATGCAATCGTAATCAATGCAATGAGTAGACGTTTATATTTATCGAGACTAATTTCAAACGCTGAATTTAGCGGGAAGAGAGTAATAATACATGAGTGTTCATTTGAACAAAATAAATTAAAAAAGAATCAATACACGAAATAAAATATTACCAGGATTCACAGAAATAGCTGATATTAGAGGTCCATTAAAACTAGGTCGGTAACCAGTAGACCCCTTTCCAGGCCAGTACAAGTGGATCTCTAACGTATCACTATCATGTGCAACCTCGACTGAATGATTTACAGTTATCGGTTTTTCTCCATTGCCCGCCTTGTCTATAATGTCGAAATAATTTTCTGTCCTGTTACCCTGCAACAAAATTTACTTAAAATAAGATAATACAATAAATAAAAGTAGAATGATGTGACTGTTACCATGACAAAAAAAAGAACTGTTGTTTTCCAAAAAAAAAAAAATGAACTGTTACCTGAATATATATATCAAATACACGTTTTCTTAGACTAGTATAGTTTGCATCATCAGTGTATACAACTTCTTTGAAATAAAGCGTCACAGTATAATTGCCTTTGCGCAGACAAAAAGCATAATACTTGAGAGATACCGCGGACAGACGAGCTTTTTCATACAGGGGTGCCTCAGTAATGGAAACTCCACGTGTCGTGCTCTTGATGTAATCACTGCCATTACTGTTTGTACAAGCCAGTCTCCGGAAAGGCTGTAAGCCCAGTTTTTATTTGGACTTGTGTAAGAGGGGGATGTGTCATTATCTTGATCATATATATTCCCAAGAACAGTTGTCTCTTCACCACCACAATTAATAAACAAGGAATGGTCTGCAAGAACAATTAACATATAATATGTCCTGCAGCATTTAGTTTGTTTTCAGGATGCCGATTTCCGAAGAATAAACTTACACTTTGGTTTGTTTCGAGGACAGTATTTGTTCTTCATTTCAAACGGATCCATCCTAAAAGTAGTTACCAATTTGTTATACAAGGTTCTGATGATCGAGTCTCTTACTAACACAAAAGGGAAAAAAACATACATATCTGGTAAAGAGGTTGAGGAGTCGCGGCAGCAGGCAAACAAATTCCTGGAAAAAAAAAAAAAAATTAAGGTCATGAAACAAAAAAATCATAATTGATGTTGTCCCCAACTTCGGCGATGTGCTACAATAGTTGTGGTGAAGTTTAAACAAAAGGCCTCGATGCAATTAGTAGTGGAAGTGGAACCATTCAATTTCGTCAACAGAAAAAGAAGAAAGAACATATCCTCACAGATGTAGGTTGCTTGGAACTGCATAGTCTACTGCTGAAAAATTGTTGAACGAAAGATCCCTAAAAAATAACATAGCATGTATCAATCTCGTTTAATTTGTACATATGAGCAAAAAATTAAAGCTGTTACAAATGAAAGTTCTTCCAACTTTAGTTCAGGATATGAAGACGTACATCCTAGTTTGCAAGGCCCGAAATATCCAACGTGGGATTGGCCCGTTAAGCATATTTCCAGAAAAAGACCTAAACATAATTAAGGGTATATATATTATATTAACGCATGTAATTAACAAGACTTAGATATGTAGTTAATCTAAATTCTTCTAGTTAAGAATGTTATTCCTTTACATGTAAATCATATCTGATTTCATATAATAAGGGAGGCCACCGGTTAACTTATTGAAGCTCAAGTCTCTGCAAGACAAAACACAGAGGATTAGATTAACAGTTAAAGGAGTTTTGATCTACAATGATATTAAGAACATGCTCAATTCTGGTTCCATGTAATTGGCTATATATTGTGAAATAAAAAATACAACATGGAAAGATATATCAGACGATGATTAATTAATTGTCCAATGAAGCGGTTGAGGGTTTGTTGGAGAGTAGCTAAAAGTACTTTCTAATAATTAAATGCAATTACGACCATGTCTGTCACAAAAAAGTAATAAATGATTTTGGGTCCTAAAAGTGTGTTTTGAAAAAATCAGTACACGTCATATGCTTTTAAGGAAACACTTGTAAGTGGTTTTGCAAGAAATCACTTAAATTTTTAATAATAAAAAAATTTGAATCGTTTTAAATGAAAACATTTCTAGCATAAATGTTTATGATTATAAAACAAGCCCTAAAACTGATTCAATTTTCTTGGGGTAAATGAATTTTAATCCTTGTATTAGATTAATTTTTCATTAAAACCTGGTGTAGGATTAGATATTTGATCTTAGTCTTCCATGTCATCATGATTATTATGACTCATATTTTGTTATTTTTAAACTCTTTAATGGTTCTTTTTGTTTTCCATTGTGCCCTTGTAATTAATTATTCGACCTTCTTGGCATGTTCCAAATTATTAGGAACTAATTTTGACTTTGATTCATTTATGCTTGATTTCTTCCATGATTATGGTGCCTGAAAAGACTTTTCATATCATCATGCCTAAATTACAAGATGAAAAAAGTTAAGGTATCACACATATAATACACCAAAAAAGTGTATGTATCTAAATATTAGTAAATAACTGAACACATCTAAATTATAGTACCTAGTTGAAAACACCTAATCATAGTACATAGTTGAACGCACCTAAATCATAGTACCTAGTTGAACGCATCTAAATCATAGTACCTAGTTGAACGCACCTAAATCATAATATCTAACCGAATGCATCTCCATCATAGTACCTAATCGAATGCATCTACATTATAGTACCTAATCGAATGCATCTACATTATAGTACCTAATCGAATGCATCTACATTATCGTACTGAATCGAGTATAGATGCGATAGATCAAACCCAACTCCAAACTTAATAATTCATACACCGACAAAATGATCAAAACCTGATAATAAAATCAACCAACACAAAATAACAACAAAAACTAATAAAATAAGAGATATCACAAGCACAATGCCACAAAAAAGTTACTAAACTCATTCTCTTCGTTGCAAATCGTTGGAATCCACATAGATACACAAGCCATATAACATTCAAAACCAACAGAAGGAAACTAGAGAGAGACCTACTACAAATGATGAGAAAAAGGGGAAAATTGTAATTAGAAGATGTGTGTGAAGAAATCAGCAATACATGGATGGTTTGCTTCAATTGCAAGAGCCAAATCATTTTTTCTAAGAAGCCTAATCTCTAATTCCTTTGATGTTGCATCTTTAAATGCCGGATGCTCATTTTGAATTAAAAAAAAATTCATTCAATTGTGAACCATTTAATAGCAATATTTAGGGGTAATATAGGAAGACAAAACATAGTAAAATTACATAAAAGAAATTAATAATGACATGGAATATAAATGCTGATTTGGACACGAGTCATATAACTAAAATTAGTTTTTAATCTTACATACGATATTTATCTAAAAGTAATCATTTTTAAGGACTAAAATATAGTTTTCTAAATTTTCTTCCAGCCAAATTAACAGGACAACTCCAAAAGCAGAATTACAAAAGTGAAGTGAAATTACAGGTATCTTAGAGATGTCATATTTTCACTAATGTATTTGGGGATTGGGCCGGTGATTGAGCAGTTCCTCAGTGTTCTGTAGAAAACCAACGTGAAGAATGAAAAATGAAGCCTTTCGGCACAAACTGGGCTAGAAGCAATTATTACAACTAACCACTCACAGAGAAATGAAATTGGCACTGTTGGAGATATTTGGTGGTAATTGGAAACCGTCATTTGCCAGGTCACTTATGAACCTGCAGAGGAATAAATATATATACATTTTCAACCTCTAATCATAATATATATGGATAATGCTAGATAAACAAAATTTGTAATCAAAACTTTTGTAAATAAAATGACATGGAAGCTCATGATTGGATATTACGTAAACATTGATAAATGTGCTCATTTATACTAGAAACATATTATTTAATTTGCAATTTTTGTCTATAAATGTAGCCTCCTTAGCATTACCCTATATATATATATATAGACACACACACACTATATATATATATATATATATATATATATATATATATATATATATATATATATATATATATATATATATATATATTATAGAACCAGCAAAGCGAAAGAAAGAGGAAGATGTCTTATACAGATACTGAAGGTTTGGCAAATTGAATATTTCAGTATATTTAGTCGTCGAGTTTCCTTCGAAATTGTTTCCCACGAGCACCCTGCACGCCGTGTAAAAAAAAATTGTCTTTTTAAGAAACCTTAATAGTAAGAGGGAGAGAATACTATTGCTACCTGCTAAGTGTAAAGCTAAAAATTACTTACAGGTAATTGATATTAGTCCACTTGGCTATGGTTTCAACTGGTAAGGGACCAGAAATGTAATTCCCGGCTATTGAACTGTATGCATTCACCAGTCACCATCATATTCTCTTAATTATTTAATTAATGTGTGGCAAACCTCAAATTAATCATTGACAGGAGTGAACACTTACAAGTATTCCAGACTTGTGAGCTGGTCATAACCTTTTGGAAATTCCCCACTCAAATAATTGGCCGACACGTAGCTGCAACAATGAAAGAGACACTCCTATGTTAATTACTTTTGCATATTAACTCGATTATTATTTCTATTTTATTTAGTTTTTAAGCGATGAGTTTGATTTTTTTTTTTTTCATTTAAACTTACAAGGAGCTGAGTGAATTCAAATTTCCGAGGCTTTCTGGAAGAGGACCAGAGAGCTGATTCTCAGACAGATCCCTATGGGAAAAAATGACAAAAGACTTAGAATTAATGTTTTAGAAGATTAATTATATATATATATATATATATATATATTTATTATATAAACATGCATACAAATAAAATCACAAGTCTATAAGTATAATTAAATGTGGTGTAAGCAAAGTACAAACATATATGAAAGACTCGAAAGCTTTCCAAAATCATCAGGAATTGAGCCTGATAGCTTATTAAACTGCATAGTCCTGCAAAAGCCGGTGAAAGTAAAGCATGCATGAAATGAATTAATCCATCAAAATTAAAATATGAGGTGGAGGAGATTAATAAAAGAAATATATAATTTATGTACTCACATTTGAATAAGATTTGTCAATGAACCAAAATTTCGTGGTATACCTCCGCTAAGCAAGTTGTTATTCAGATATCTATATATATAGAGCGTGAAAATGACTTGATAAGAATTTTAACAAAAGAAATTAATGGAAATTAATCAAGATGACTCTCCACAATTAAATTGGCGACATAAAGCCCTTACAGGTTTTGAAGAGAAGCCAGGTTCCCTAAGCTTGCTGGTACTAGACCACTGAGTTGATTGGAGGATAGATCCCTTGATATAGAGAACCCCAATTTAGGATTCTAATTTTCACAAGTACACACTAAAGCATCTAGTTGATTGATTAACAATGAATTTTCATGTAAAACTATCCATATATTCATAATCATGCAAATTATAGTGTGTGCGTGTAACCATCTAGTATATATTTACTTACAGGTATTCGAGATCCATCAAATTCCCCCATGTATCAGGAATGCTGCCATGAAGTTTGTTGTTGGCTAGAGAGCTTTTGATATGATATATAAAAAGAAAGAAAAAAAAACAAAATTTAATTAGGTTGAACTTATAATTTCTTTACACACTTAGTGAATATTTTTGTGAAGGTTAGTTCTTTTTAGGGGTTTCTCCATTTTAATCCTTGATAAAGATTGAAATTCAATTAAAACCTTATGTTAGATTATATATTCATTATAGTCCTTTGACTAAATTTCCATGTCAACATAAATATTAAAATTTATATTTTCTTGTTTTGAAATATTTAATGTGTTTTTTTGGTTCCTATAATGCCCCTATTAAATATTTGATTTTAATTAGCTCCATATTTTTTGGCATTGATTATTGTCTGACTTTCTAAAATGATAAACATAATTCAAAAAAATATTAGTGATACGTTACAAGAATTAACAAATACCTAATTCAAATAATTCATTATCACCATTCAAAGCATAGAGGAAATATAAATAGTCAAATCATATATTTTACATAATCGAATGCACTTAAACCATGTCCTAATGTGCTTAAATCATATAACCTAGTCGAATGCACATAAATCATAGTACCAAGTCAAATGCACCTAAACCATGATACTTATATGAATGCACCTAAACCATGGTACCTATATGAATGCACCTAAATCATGGTACCTATATGAATGCACCTAAATCATAGTACCTATATAAATGCACCTTAATTATTTAGGTACTATCAATTAGGTCTTATCTATTCGGTATGATCGGTTAGGTACTATATAGTGTATGTCCGATTAATTTGGTACGGTCAATTAAGTTGTGATTTCACATTCTATTTTCTCAATCTGTATTTTTTTTTCATTTATCTCTGGATTCACCGTCAATTTGGCATCTAAAAGCCCCTTTTTTCTTCTTTCTTCCGAATACAACGAGATTTTTGGTTTGTAAGTTTTATGGCTTTTTTTGTTTGATCATGGTTTCTGAGTTTTCTGGGTTCTTTGATCGGAATAACACATGGAGATTTATGTTATAACAAACATGTTAATTATGGATCTAGTTAATTAAGCATTCTTGAAAAATTAATTATATATTTGTTTCTCTAATTGGTTTTAAGAGAGTAATAAGGGTAAATAGGGAAACTAAAAATGCAATAAATTTATTAAAAAATGATTAAATGTGACATGGAATACTATAATTTGACATGGAGGACTATTTTTAGTTTTTAATCTTCCATACGGTATTATTGAAAAAGCAATATTATTTAGGGATTAAAATGAAGTTTTCTATTCTTTTTACACCCCAAAGTTGTCACTGGAGTCTGCAATGTAACATAAACAACTGAAGTTACATTAAAGATTGGTGGGCAGAGAAAGAGTCAGATTACGTACAGGTACGTTAGATTGCTAAGATAACTCACAGCTTCATGAATGGTTCCAGTTAAATCAAGGTTGTTTATTTCACTGCCACACAAAATGAGTGCACAAAAAAAAAAAAAAAGGGTTAATACCATTCTATATATAATTTAAACAAGATTTTGATGATTTATTTGACCAAATGCGTATTTGTGAAATATTGTTTCATACATACATTTTAGAGATGCGGCATAGATTAGTCGCGTTATTGCAATCACAATTGATTGTAAAACCATAAAATGTTCCATCGCACGATTTGTCTGTAATGGTTTGTTGTTGCTTCAATTCTAAGTCTCTCGTAATGGCTTGAAGAGCAGACACTGCCAATATTTCGGTAAGTAATTAATAAATACGATGATCAGGCCTCTTAGCTGAAATTAATTAATTAAACATGTGTTTGAAGGCGATATAATCAGAAAGTTAGCTGAAAACAGATGGAGTGAAACTGGTAATGAATACCTTCATCTACTGGCAGTCCGGCCACGTCGGCTCCACAGTGGAATTTGGATTGAGGCCAGCGTCCAAGTTGCCAAAGTAGAATATGGTATAAAACAAGCTTAGTAAGCTGGAGTATTAGAGAAGGCTTACTCATTTCTATTGCTGGGTCGTGACTCGTTGTAGAAGATAATTTGCTCCATCAAAGTCGATTGCCTATATATAATACGAAACCACCTGTGGAAATGAGACCCATGTATAAAGATGGTCAACATCGCAATCGGTAATGTGGTCATCAATATAAAATAGGGAATTTTAACGAAAAGCTCATGGTACTGTTCACTTTAACGAAAAACCACATTTTTACACTAAAAAGTCAATCCTGGTACTATTCACTTTACCCTTTATTTTGTCCTTATCATTAAAACTCAAAGTTTTCAAACCCTTTTAATTAGTTTTCCTTATAAAATAAGGAGTTTTAACGAAAAGTCTGCGGTACTGTTCACTTTAACGAAAAACCACATTTTTACACTAAGGAAAACTAATGAAAAAGGCTTGAAAACTTTGAGTTTTAACGATAAGGACAAAATTTAGGTTAAAGTGAATAGTACCAAGATTGACTTTTTATATTACGAAACTAACCAAAATTTAGGTTAAAGTGAATAGTATCAAGATTGAATACTCTCCAATATATTTTGTGTGTGTGTGTGTGTGTGTACACATGGGTACGTTCATCAAAACTAACCAAAAAATTATTGTACCAAAGCATGGGTACATTTTTCAAAAGCACGAAAAAAAAGAAAATATTAGGCATAATAACATTATTAAATTTCTTCTATTAAACTTGACATAGATACATTCTCAAATCAATGAAATAGAATGTACCCATATAATATAAGTTTAAAAAATGGATTAGAGAAAAGATTGAATGAAATTTTATATAAAACTGGGTACATTTTTAACAAATTGGTATATTTAAGAATGGATATATATAAGATTAAAAATTTGAAAATTTTGTACAAACTTATTCTAATTTTATTTTTTATATTTGGGAAATTTTTGAATTGAAAATTATTTAGGAGTTGAATAAGGGAGTGAGTATTAAAACTCCAAATCAATTACTATTTTTTTTTATAAAAACTATGTAACTTACATATAATTCATTAATATATTAATGCTAGGGACTTTGATAAGGTTTTAGTCAATGAACATTAGAAATTAGAGACCGAAAACTAATTTTTCCTTAGAAAAATGATAAAAATGTGATAACTATAGTCATACTCATTTCACTATTTGATCTCTCTTTAATAGAGACGATACTCATTTCATTATTTTTCAGGAGTATTTTTGCTCACCACCGCTATCTTTGTTGGATGCTCACCTCTCTCTTATAACTTACCATGTGTCCCACCAACTAAGGGTTAAATTTAATATTAAAATACTTTTGAAAAGAGTTAAAAATAAATAAATTAAACATAATAAAAATTTCCAAACGAAACACCTCGTCCTCCTCTTCTTCTCTTTTCGATCCAACGGCCACCACCACAACCGCGACAACGGCAACAAACATCCACGCCCCGAGGCCACCACCCTCCATTCCTCCATCTTTTAATTCAAATCGTCCGGGCCATGGACGCCGAGTCCACCTCCGAACCCTCCATTCCTTAATTACGGTGATACTGATGTCATTTTTGTGGTGTTCCCAATTGGGTTTCTCGAATACTTTTTTTCTTTTGATGATATTAAGCATTTGAAGAAATGGGTTTATTTGTGATGATTTTATTCATGTTTTCAGTAATTGACTTGTTTACTTATAATTTATAAATTACAGAAGGGTTTGTGATTGTCTGTATTATATAATTTGTATTTTGTCTGTTGGCTAATTAGTTATGTATGGAACGCAGTAATCGCACAATTTTTGGCACGGCATCGTTTCGTCTTCCCGGAGTCTCTCACATTTTTTTATTGTTTTCTGCAAATTTGTTGATAAGCAAAAACCCTCACCCTCTCGCTCTGTCCCCTTATGTTTTTCCCCTTTCTCTGTTACTTAACCAAACCGGAGATTCAATCTCAAATCGCAATTGGAATCAATATTGTAATTTGGATCTCCTGAATGGAACATAAATTTCTGGATTCAATAACACTTCACCAGTTTGAGATTTTTGATTTGTGATATTTGCTCCAATGACAGAGAAGGGGAAAAAACGAGAGAGGAAAGAGATGGGAGGAGGGGGGAAGATATATGAGACGGTAGAGAATCTGGGATACAAATATTAAGATTGCGTTGTTGAGTTAAATTTATCTTTAAGGTGTGTAAAAAGGCAGCACTAGGGTTTTAACATTCATCATTTAACATTAGGGTGTGTGATGGACATTTATCTTTAATGGAATGTAGTAAAAAAAGATAAATGATTTCCAACTGAAATTTAAAGGAGAAGTTAAAAAGTCTATATTAGTAATAACGGTAAAAAAAGACAGTATTAGTGTTTTTCAACTGAAATATCAATTATATATGACATGGCATGAAATAATAGCAGAGGGAGTTGCTGATAGCTGTTTCAAATCTATTTTTAGTGAGTAATAAATGTTTTTTACAATTTTTGTTATAATAGTTTAAATCTGACATATTGGGTGGAGAACAAAATTTACCAAAAGATTAATGTGCCACATAAGCCTTCAAATTTAAATTGTGTTTAAAATTTGACATCTCCTTTGAAAATTGTCTAATGTAAAAGGTGTATGGTAAGCATAGGCTATAGTTATGATGGTGAGCAAAAAATGCTCTCAAAAAATGATTAAATTACATGGATGCTGATGTGGATTTTATAAAATAGAACTAAAAAAAGGAAAGGAAAAAAAAAGCTGGAAGAAAAAACCTGTAAAGTGCAAACAAGAGGTCAAAACGTGCATGGGAGAAAGACCTCCATTTCTTTCCTGCTTATCGACTTCACTCTTGTTAAGTCTTTTTACTCTATCATCCTAGGATAGAAACTTCCTCTTGATTCAGTTTCAAATCCCTGCTATGGTTTAATTGTCTATATCTAATTTGTTCTCTGGCTCTGCCGCTATTAAGTTTTGAATAAGATAACCCCCAACTATTACACCAAAATTTCATGGCTCTGGTAGCATGGCAATTGTGATTAAATCCAAATAGATAGATTTTGTTACTGCAATTAACGAGAGATTTTTCAATGTGTTGGAAATATAGGGTAGTACACTACATATCACTGATTCATTATACAAGTAGAAGAACACTTGAAAAATAAAATTTTCTCCATTCATATTATGACACAGTGTACGTACCACTCCAGCCACACTAATTTCAAACAAAAACCAAAACCTCAATGCTTATTACATGAGTACCTTTTTTAAATAACAGAAACCCCAAGTTTTCTTTTTCACGAATAAGAAAGATTGTTTATAACATGAATACCTCCCATCGTCTCATCCAATCGATTCTCTCATATCTATCTATATTCGTCGGGCTTGCCTAAATCATCTCCTTCAACCACGCCCTAGCTAGGATTCGATTGATTATCACCATTTTACACAGACTCCCTTGCCAGTCTGCATCCACGTTCGTGCTTTATATGTTGAACCCACCAAAACTAGAATCAGAGCAACGCCCCACCAAGCCTTCTGAGGCCGTCGCGGTTTAAGCGTCATTATTTTTAATCAACTATGCTTGTTTTTTATTTATGACGTGGAAAAGGTGTTATTGAAAAGCATATTTTATAAGGAAAATTAACGAAAAAGGCTTGAAAACTTTGAGTTTTAATGATAAGGACAAAATAAAGGGTAAAGTGAATAGTACCAAGATTGACTTTTTAGTGTAAAAACGTGATTTTTCGTTAAAGTTCCCTATTTTATATGGCACCCTAATTTATGTTATTGATGACGCAATATGTAGTAGTGTCTCCATTTCTTCTCTTCAAACTTTTCTCTAGTTTTATTCATACACATTACAGTAGTTATCAGGCTAGTTAGAAATATTGGTTAAGTACTTTATGTTCTTGCTCTCAAATTTTCTATATTTTATTTTCATTGCTTGTTATGTTTTTCTCTTTCCCCTCCCTCATACACTAAATAACTCACGTCATCATCAGTGCCCTTGTCGATGTGCTCTGCTAAATCCAGCTCGTTTCACACCTTCTGGGAAGCTGCAAATGAATCCTTGTCTAGAATGAGTATTTGGATTATTTTGGTGGCCCGTATATATGGCCGATTATGAATTTCCATCTGAGGCTACTTCTAATTAAAAAGGGTATATATATTCGTTTTGATTTAGATTTGATGAATATATATACACACATATATACATATATAGATTAACTTTACAGTAGATTGTTATATATAAAACATAGAAGCCAAATTATGGAATATGAAATTATTGCCTGATTAGTTTGACAGAACAAAAGAATAAAAAAATCTAGTACACTACTATCACAGATTCACAATGTAGAGTGATTGTGGGGTTGTTTGTAGAGATTAAGATGGTTGTTAGAAGTCCAAAATAGCCACCAAATTTTGTGAAGAGATCTAAACACAAAACATTAGGTATTCGAGAAAAATAATACCCCAAGATAGTTTATTGGATAAGCAACGAGATGTACAAGAAACTCAACAAAAGAAAATAGAGCGGATTGACAAGAAAAAAAAGAGGGGGCGGCAGGGGGGGTTTTGAACTTTAATCCTTGAAGAAGATTAAAATTCAATAAAAACCTGTGTTAGATTGGATATTGATTTTAGTTCTTTAATGTGTACTTCAAATTCATATTATATTTTTGTTTTAATATTTAATATAGATATCTTATTTAATGTCATCACATTAAATTTTAAATTTATTATTATACACATTTTAATTCTTTGATTTTATTTAACTTCTTCTAATTAGTGTATCTAAACATCCGTATCATAATATATTTTACTAAATTAGTGTAGCGCAATGTTCGTACCTAAATATATTGTTGTACCTAAATACATTGTAGTGAATTAGTGGCACATAAGAAAATATGCAAAAATATAAGTGTACCAACAATTTCGTACCTAAATATATGATACTAAACTAGTATACCGAAATGTCCGTACCTAAATATATTATACTAAACTATTGTACCGAAATGTTCGTACCTAACATATTATACTAAACTAGTGTACCGAAATATTCGTACCTAAATATATTACAATGAATTAGTGGCGC